GGTCTGAAACAACTGAGTAACACAATCCAGTAAGCTTCTACTAACTATACCTCAACTCCCACCAAACACTGTGACCATACCTATCCACTGTAAGTAGTGGCTTGAAAAAAACCTGACCTATCACCCAACAACACACCTCTTTGCCTCAAAGCCTTCAGGAAATCCCAATGTTAAAAATTACACATGGGGTTAGAAACTAAAACATGGATTCCCAAGATACTAATTCTTCATGTTTAGCAGGAAGAAAGGGGGAATTATTTTGCCCCTTCTATCCACATAGGTTGCCAGATGTCCTAGGACTTCGAGAAGAAAAAAGTGTTTAGTCTCCAGACAGCCTGGCAGTCATTTTCAAACAGTACTGCATTCCCAGTGCCAAGATGCCTCAGCGTACAAAGAGAGAACTGGAAACCCGAAAAACCATAATGAGACAGGCTCAGATGAAGAGAAGAGGTGTTACTGGAAACAACACTAACCGCCTAACACAACTTCCGGGACTCTCCTCCAAACAGAGTGACCATGTTCCTTTCTGCCACAAACTGTGTCATGGACCTCAAAGCTGTTTGTTCAAAGCCCTGATCAAAGCCTGGAACGCTTCGACAAAGCCTGCTTTGAATTAAATATGGGGCTGACCAAAACACTCTCTGAGGAAGAAGGGAATTTAACAGGTGTCTACAATAAAGGATTTTCTAAGTTTTTGAAATTCCAACTTCTGTGAAGACATGAAAGTTGATGAAAACGTGAGCCTTCAACCGCCTTCAAACCTCCGTGACATCTGTAGCCAGAGTCTGTCTACAAAAGCTCTACTCTGAGGTTTCAATAAGGTCGCCTAAAGTCACAGCCAAAGTTTGTCTTCCCAATTAAATGGTCTATTAAAGGCCAACTTATAAAGAGAAGAGAGTCAATATTTAATTGGAAAGCAAATCACCTAACAGTAAGTAGTAGACACATTTCCCAATTAAAAATCTGACAAGAACTCACAAAAATAAAACAGCATCTCCAAAATGCCATCTTGCTTATTCCTCATTTAGAAAGGCTGCCTGCTCCGATTTCACACCAGACAAAAGGTTAGGGAGGGGAAAAATCAATAGAAAAGTAGGAAAATGCTGTGTGTGTGCACGCACATGTGTAAAACTGTCCAAATTTACATCAGCAGGTTATCGAAACTCTGTCCACCCAATTAGTTCCTTTTTAAAGGGCCAGTGGCAAGACTTCAAACCAAAAGCAGTTAGCAGTGGCCTCCGACAGACTTGGTCGCAAGCACTGTCCATCTCCTCATCAAAACCCCACTTCCCAGCGTGAGGACCTCTTCCGCAATACCCCAGGAGTCCACCCTTTGAAACATCTGATTGTCCGGAAATATTTTTATTCAATACTTTTTAAATGGTTAAGAATTTCATTTATGAGTCTCAAGGTACTTAAATACCCATCAACCAAATGTAACATTTTCACTACTATACTACAACATTTCTTGAAACTGTTTTGATTTTTAAATTCTTGAAAGTGATGGACAATCACACTAGCAAAATAGTCGTTATTTAACTATTTGGTACCACAGCTGGAAAGAGTGACGAGATATGGCTAGTCCCCATGGTTATACAGACTGTGTCCTTAGGTTGAACCCTTATCCACCTGTTGTTTTCTCACTCGGTGTTAAAAGATGACTAACAATAAATGCTGTTTCAAGTTACAGAAATAGCTTTAAATATATATGATGTGTTATGCTAGCACATAATAAGGTATAGAAATGACTTTTTAAAAAAGATTTATTTATTTATTTATTTGAGAGAGAGAGGGAGAGAGCACGCATGCATGCATGTGCACACCAGCGGGAGGAGAGAGAATCTCAAGCAGATTCCCCACTGAGCATAGACTCACAACGAGATCACAACCTGAGCCGAAACCAAGAGTCGGACCTTAACCAACTGAGCCACCCAGGCACCCCAAAATGACTTTTTTAACGTATCTGAGCAAAAGAACCAAAGGAGAATTTTTAATATTCACTATTCAAAAAAGAAAGCAACAGCTCAGTGATATAAGAAGATAAATAAAGCTAAACTAATCAAACTTTTCAAAAGATTATCACTGACAAGTCACTTAAATGACAGGTCCAAGGAAACAGAAAAGAGAACTGGCATGTATCAGCTATATCTTCAAGGAAGCTCAGAATTTATAAACATGAGCCTAAAATGGGTTCAGGAAAGCTTTGGTCTGTGAGAGAGAATCTGAAAAGAGGTTAAGGAGAAGAGGAGTTAATCCAAGTTTTACATGAGGAATTAAGAATCAGGAATACAATGTTGCAAGAAGGGGTAACACAAAGAATACAAACTGAACAGAGAGACAAAGAGGCAACTTCAGAGTGACAGAACAATTTACTAACAAGAAATACACATTCCCCATTCTTTTTTTCCCTCAGTTTTAGTGGGTGTAATGGACATATAACACCATAGTCCTTTAAGGTGTACAACATGGTTTAATATATTGTGTATATTGCAAAATGATTACAATAAGGTTAGTTAACAAGCATCCATCTCACCTAGTTACAATTTCTTTTTCTTGTAATGAGAACCTTTAAGATCTACTCTCTTAGCAACTACATTCCCCATTCTGTTCTCTTAAGTACTCTCCCCTGCTTCTCCCCACCCAAACACCAAAGTAATACTACCATCCTCCTCTCATTAACTGCCACTGTTCATGAAATTTAAACCATTGCATATGTTCAAAAGCACATCAGAGAGGAAACAACAAGGGGAGAGAGCTTGCAACACTCTCACGCCAACCCAACAATTTTCCTGTGACTCAAACAAATATTGAAAAATAAACATTAACACTCGAGAAGCAACATCATCCAGTCTTAAATAAGGTCATATGGAACCATGAACTCTTATCCTTACTAAACATGCCCAGGATGCTAGAGCTGGACACTCCATTATACCATGCTAGTTAACAGATGTAATGAAAGTATTATTCAAGTGGTCTGAGGTGGTCAAGAATAAGGAAGAAAAATGGAAAACAATAATACACAACAAAATTCAGCATAAAAACTGTGTAGGCCTAAATCATGGTGATACGTGAAGGTAATATAGATGGGCATAAGAGATGGGTGAATGACCACAAAATCATATTCCACACCATCCAGTGGGAGAGTCCCCCTGAAGAACAAAGGAACAGTCAACCAAAGGCAATGTATTTCTGAATCAGCATCAGTTAAAAACAAAAAAACAAAAACAAACAAACAAAAACCCTTTAGTTTGGTTTTTATGCTTTTTTCAAATGTAGGGCATTTAGAATGAATGTAATAGCCATTTAGGAAAACTGATACACAGCAGAAAAGAAATGGGTAAAGCCTACAGAATCATAAGTGCACAGCTGAAATGGTACATTTATATACATGTGTTACCCTTCCCTAACCCCCACTCCACTTAACCACTCCTTCTGGATTCCCATATTTCACTCATCTCTGTTTTTAGACTTATGTCATAGTTTTTACTTCCATATTTTATCTCTCAAGTGAACTATACTCTCAGGGGTAACATCACATCTGATTCGTCTTTGCAAAACTCAGGGCATCCACTCATTTGTTCAACAAATACTTATTAAGTATGTATTAAGTCCCAGGCACCATACTACAAACTGGCACTAAATACATAGTTTAAGTGAATGTTGACTATAAGACAGAAAAAATAAACAAGTTCAAAAAAGAATCCAAATAAATTCATGTATTATAACTCCACAAAGGATTAAGATGGGACGCTACCAATATTCTAGTTGGAATTTTAGTATCATCTATGCTGCTTGTATTGTGACAAGAATGTGGGTCCACACTAGACCAGTGTTCCCTTTGCATGGCCTACCAAGTTTATTAAGCATTTCCACACAGAGAATTATCATCTTAGATCTTTAGAAAAAAAAAACAAAAACCCCACTTAGTAATAATGATTTCATGACTTTAAACTGGAGGCCCCTAAATAACACCCATGAGATGGGTCTTTATCAGTCCATGAGTGGTAGATTGCTTTAAAATTCCATCTATTCATACCTTCAAGCCCCTACTACCTACCAGCTACTGTTGAGGCTGGGTTTTAAACAAATCATCAAGATATTGCGGGAGCCCTCCTAGAACTCAACTGCAAGTTTAGCATGGGGTGGGGGGGGGGGTCAGGAGGACGGGGTTTTACTTTATGAAAAATACCTGAGTTGAAATTCAAATGTCAACAACGTAAAAACGTGTTATAATACATTTTATTCAGGTTGTTGTAATCACTTCCTGTATCATCCTTAATGATGTCTGAAAGGATTCCCTCACCTTTATTTCACATTTTTAAAAAAAGGAGCCCCTAAAAGGTCCACCACTCCCACTCCCACCATATATATTCTGGGAAAATAACATGCATAGAAGATAACTCGAAATTTGTTTTGTTTTGAAGGAATAGACCGGGATAGGAAGGCAGAACAAAAATCGAAAACGACTGTACGCCTTCCAACCCACAGCCCTTCTACAAGCTCACTACAGGCTCTTGTATTGGAGGCTGTGGCCATTCACAGGTGGTTGGAGGTGTGCGAAGTGTGAGAACACAATCTGCAACTCATGACAGTAGTCCCCGGACTTCAGGGCCTTACACCCAGAAATTCAGGAAACAAGGCGCCTTCCCCAAGTGAGCGCGGCGGAAGGCAATCCATAAATAAACGCTGTACGAATAAATGAACACACCTGGCTTTCTCTACCACGCCCCAAACAGCGTGCTTCTAGGGCCCAGGGACCTAATGGAAAGCTCAGGTCCCAAAGAAAAGATAGCGAGGCGGGGCTCCTCCCTCTAGCCCAACCCCAGAGGAAAAGGGAGAACTGCGGGGGCCCTTCGGAGGGGCTGGGGGGGGGGGAGGCAAGGAGGAAGGGGGAGGGGTCGGCAGGGTGGAACCCAGCTAACCCTTCTCCCTTCCAAAGCGGAGGTCGAGCCGCTGCCCGCTGCCCCCTGTCCCCTGACCCTGCCTCCTGCCTCCCTCACCTGATCACAGAGATGAGCAGCCCCGAGGGGTCTTTGCTTTTGCTGACTGTGCTTCTGTATTTCCCACCAGCTGCTTCTGCCGCCATCTTGGTACCGGGCGGAGGGGGGAGAACCGCTGGGCAAGAAGGGCCAAAGCGAACGTAAACTCTGTAATTGACCTCTCTGGGAAGTAACCAATGGAAGAAGAGAAATTCAGAGACGTGAAACTGGACAGTCCAATCGCTGAAGTAAGGAGGCGGGACCGAAGCAGCAAGTTTCAAGGTCCCGCACGCCCTCTAAGCACTCTGGGAATTGTAGTTTTCTTCCCTGAAACTACACAGGAAACTAAACCAGTAGCAACTTGGTGAAGTCTCCTAATGACTGTCTGATTTGTATTTACTCTGATCTGATGTGGGTTTGTTTTTTTTCCAGTTTCCTTGTTTTTAGATTTTTATCATGTTTTTAATCAAATTTATCTTACAATGCCAAAAAGTGTATATAGAGGCGTGTATTTACATGGGGGGGTATGCCTATGAGCAAAATTTTACTTTAAACACAAATGGTTTAATAAACAAACAATTTAATACTGCGTCGGGGTTTCATAGGTAGCAAAGCAGCTCCCTCGTTGCAATCTCTTAAAAATCAGCCCTTGACACACACAAAAAAGAAAAATTTTAAATAAATAAATAAAAACAATTCAATAAAATGCGAAAATAAGACACAGAAATGCTTATTCTCTAAAACTAAATGTTTCTACATTCGTTTTATGTGTGAGTTCAGTTATCTTCCAGTGTGGCTGTATTTCCAGATAATCCTAAAAAAATACCTGCAAAAACATGCAAATTGGAAATTGACAAAAAGACCAAAAAGCTAAACCGACCAAATTGCAGATTTTTTTCTTTCCCAAGCTAAATAAAATATACATAGTAATAATTTTACTTGTGCTTTATTAATATTTTTACTGGTAGGTTTTTATATTTCTTGGATTTGACTCTACCGGCTTAGTCATTAATTCAGAACAGGAAATAAATAAGAAACAAAGATTAGTGTGTGTATGAAAAGCATAAATCAAGGAACAAGAAGAAAAATAAATATGAAACAGGAGGGTAGGATACTGCTTAGTAGCAGTAAAGATTTAGAGAACTTCAGAGATGAAGAGAATGCAAATTTAGAGGTTCTGGAGTTGTAGAGTAGCAAACACAGAACACATCAACTACTTTTACTGAAACAACATAGAAGTATTAAATAAATTGTAGAACATCCATATATGAGGATATAACATATAGCCACTGGAAATCATAATTTTAATGGCTTTTAATGAGAATGAGATTTTCATGGTATAAGTAGAAAAAGCAGGCTATAAAGTTAAACAACTTATATGCAGAGAGAAAAGAATTGGCCCTACAGGCTAAGAATGCAAGCAGTAGGAAAAAACCATGATCATTGCAGTTGATGCAGAAAAAAATCTTTTGACAAAATCCAGCACGCTTTTCACAATGAAACACTCAGAAAACTAGAAATGGAAGGGAACTTCTTCAAAATGATAAAGAATATTTATTAAAAACACACAGCTAACGTCATACTCAATGCTGAAAAACTGAAAGCTTTCCAGCTATGATCAGGTACAGGACAAGGACACCCACTTTTGCCACTTCTCTTCAACATAGTACTGGAAATTCTAGCCAGAGCAATTAGGCAAGAAAAAGAATAAAAGGCATCTAAATTGGAAAGGAAGAAGTGAAACTATCTCTGCTTATAGACAATATGATTTTACATATGGAAATCCTAAAGACTTTTTAAAAAAATGACTAGAGCCAGTAAGTTAACTCAGCAGGGTTGCAGGATGCAATATCAAGACAAATCAGTAGTCTTTTTGTACACTAGCAATGAACAATCCAAAAGAAACTTAACAAAACAATTCCATTTACAATAGCATCAAAAAGAATAAAATACTTAGGAATAAATTTAACCAAGGAGGTTTCTACATTGAAAGCTACAAAACATTGGTGAAATAAATTAAAGAACTAAATAAATGGAAAGACATCCTGCATCCATGAATTGGAAGACAATATAGTTAAGATATCAATGCTCCCTAAAGCTATCTACAAACTCATTGCAATTCCTATGAAAATTCCAGTGGCTTTTTTGCAAAATTGGAAAAACTGATCCTAAAATTCATATAGAATTGTAAGGAGCCCCAAATAGTCAAAGCAATCTTTAAAAATAACAAATTTGGAGAACTGAGTCTTCTTGATTTCAAATTTACTAAAAAGTTATAGTAATTAAAAGTGTGGCACTTACATAAACACACAGATAAATGGAATATTATGGAGAGTCCAGAAATGAATCCATATATCTATGATCAATGGATTTTCTATGAGGGTGCCAATATCATTCAATGGAAAAAGAAAAGTCTCTTCAACAATGATTCAGGGAAAACTGGATATATATGTGCAAAAGAATGAAGTTGGATCCTGTCTTAGTCCACTCAAGCTGCTATAACAAAATATCACAGACTGGGTAGCTTATAAACAACAGAAATTTGTTTCTTCCAGTTCTGGAGGCTTGGAGTCCAAGACCGAGGTGCCAGCATAGTCATGTTCCAAGGAAGGCCATCCTCCTGGTTCATGGCCAGCACCTCATACTGTGCCCTCAGTGGTGGAAGAGACTAGGGACTTCTGTGAAGTCTCTTTTATAAGAACACTAATCCCTAATCGCCTCTAAAAGACCCTATCTCCTAATACTATTGCCTTTGGGGTTAGGATTGAACATATGAATTTGCAGGTCAGGGAGAATACATTCAGATCTCATAGCATTTTACAAAATGTAACTCAAAATGAATCAAAGACCTAGACATAAGAGATAAAATTCTTAGAAGAAAAAATAGAGTAAATCCTTATGACCTTAGATTTGGCAATGGATTCTTACATTACCACACTAAAATCATGAACAACAAAGGGAAAAATAGATGACTTGGATTTCACCAAAATTAGAAACTTTTGTGTATCAAAGGACACAATCAAGAAAGTAAAAAAGAGGGGCGCCTGGGTGGCTCAGTCATTAAGCGTCTGCCTTCGGCTCAGGTCATGATCCCAGGGTCCTGGGATCGAGCCCCTCATCGAGACCCAAATCGGGCTCCCTGCTCGGCAGGACAGCCTGTTTCTCCCTCTCCCACTCCCCTGCTTGTGTTCCCTCTCGCCCTGTCTCTGTCAAATAAATAAATAAAATCTTAAAAAATAAAAAAATAAAACACCAACCATTCAAAAGAAAAAAAAGAAAGTAAAAAAGACACCCCACAGGGTGTAAGAAAATATATGCAAATCATACATCTGATTTGGGTCTCATATCCAACATATGGAAAGAATTCTTACAACTCAACCACAAAAGACAGAAACTCCAATTAAAAACTGGGCAATGGACTTGAATAGACATTTCTCCAAGTGAAATATACAAATGGCCAACAAACACATGAAAAGCTGCTCAACAACATTAGTCACCAGGGAAATGCAAATCAAAACCACAGTGAGATGCTGCTCCACATCTACTAGTATGGCTATAATTTTAAATAACAGAAAATAAATGTTAGAGAGAATGTGGAGAAACTGGAACCCTTGTACGTTGCTGGTGGGAATGTAAAATGGTACGGCCAATGTGGAAAACAATTTGGTGGGCCCTCAAAAAGTTAAAATTACCACATGACCCAGAAATTTGACCCATAGGTATATATCCAAGAGAATTGAAAAATTGTGCTCAAAAAAACTTGTACACGTTCATAGCAGCACTGTTCACAATAGCCAGAAGGTGGAAACAGCCCAAATGTCTATCAGTGGATGGATGTGGTATAATATGTGGTATAAACAAAATGTGACATATCCATACAATGGAATATTCTTCAGCCAAAAAGAGGGAATGGAATACTGATACATGCTACAACACTGATGAACGGTGAAAACATTGTAATAAGTGAAAGAAGCTAGACACCAAAGGCTACACAATATATGATTCTATTTTTATGAAATACCCAAAATAGGCAAATTCGCACAGACAGAAATTAGATGTCGGGGCCAAGGGCAGGACACCCCAAGTGGGCCACTTTAGCATAAAGATTATTTTGAGTTAAAAAGCAAGCAAAACCCTGCAGATTCAGGAAAATCTCTTAACCTCCCCCTCAACTGCTTTAAAAGAATTTAGATAGTGGACCTGCTCCAGGTCCATAGATAACTATATTGCAGTATGAACTAGGAATGGTAGATAGGGAGGGACCTAGCAAGGTCTGTTTGAAAAAGTCTTCTACATCCCATTGTTTCTGTGTGCCCCAGTAAACATTTGTTTATCAAACATATACTCTTGTTTATCTTCCTATAAATTGCATTCCTTCCCTTTGAAGTCCCAGACCCGATCCCCTTCTCCTTAGTTCAGGATAACATATATACCTCATTCTGCCAGACTGCCTTTAGAATCTCATGTCTGTGTGCATTCCCTGTGCATATGAAACTAAATTCTATTTTCCCCTGTTAATCTGTGTCATGTCAATTTGATTCTTAGTCCAGCTGGAAGGACCTTGAAGAACAGAAGAAACGATTCCCTAGGGTTGTGGGGAGGTGGGAATGGAGAATGACTGCTTTATAGACACAGGATTTCCTTTTGTGAAGACGGAAATGTTCTGGAACTTGATAGTGATGATGGTTCCATAATTTTATGAATGTATTAAAAGCCACTGAATGATATACTTTAAAATGGTTAAAATAGTAAATATTATGTTATGTGTATTTGACCACAATAAAAAAAATAAAAAATGCAAGTTGTGCAATAGAACCACCTAGATTCAATCCCAGCTCTTCACTTACTGGCTAGGTTACCTCAGGGAAGTTACTGAACCTTTCTGTGCCTCAGTTTCCTTACCTGTAAAGCAGGCGATAATAAGGAAGTCCCTTAGAGAAAGTAATTTGGAGACTGTATGAGATATGCATGATCAGCACTTGGCAAATATCAGCTATTATTACTAAAGTAAGGTACTAGTTTTGTTTAAAAACACACCTCTGTGGGTATTATGAAGTTGTTTTGAGGAGCAAGAATACAGGTATTTTTTTCCATTTTTTAACACCTTTCTGTGTTTTCCAAATTT